CCATGGCAGATCTTACCAGAGTGCTACGCAACTGGGGAAACAATCGCTACGCAGATGATGTTGGCCAGGTCGCACACATCCTCAACCACGAGTACTCGAGCAAGGAAACCGTGAGGTCAGAGTTGAGGAATTTCACGATACAGGTGAGGCTGAAGTCAAACACACTGTGACGCTTGAGGGCAATCCGGTGCCCAGCAGTTGGTTCACCATCGAGGAGGAGGACTTCGTACCCCCGACAGTCTTTCAAGAACTGGATCCAGAATACACGGAGTATCCCGGCTACCTGGGAAATGCGCGTCCCTGGTTCTTTCTAATCAATTGTTGTCTTACTTATTTTTGCGAAGTGCGCCGGGGACACCAGTTACTGTGCGTTCTCGCTTATTCAAAGGATCTCGAGGAACCTGACGCTCATTTTGGTTTGCAGTGTATCACCGCACGGTGTTGCTTTGTCGGAAAAATCAAATTCGTCTGACCAGAGGTGATCACGTCATATCAGGTTGGATCAGGCGGTCAGGTTTTTGACTGAGTGATAATGGTCGAACCAGGCATTATAATGTTTGACCAACCTGATCAGACTAGGCTGTGAAAGGGTTGAAAAATCTGACTCGTTGCCCCACCTCTTACACTTTCTTACCCTTTTTCGTGCTTCTGAAGTGTTCGGTTCAATAGTAGTAGTACTAGGGGCAACAGTGTGTAATGTGAGTAAGGATAACAAAGGTAAGGAGTATTAGTAGTGCTATTTATTCAACTGCAGTATATACTCGCGCATACATGTAAGTATAGGGAAATTTTGGAAGGTCATCATCTGAGTTATGTACCTTGCTCGGGCCACGGGTTGGCGCTTCACACGGGCTCCACAGCTCGTTAAATTCCCGTAAAAAATCAGTGCCAGCCTCGTAAATAGATCCAACGGGTCGGGAAAAATCAGCAACCTCTTGCATGTTGCTAACAAATAGCTTCCCGATCGTATAGCGAGGTGGAAAATTTTGGGACCCTGATATGCCCTGACAGTGTCTGATAACCCTCACGGGGAAACCTGATACGACCTGATCAGAGCGTCAGACATCGTCAGGCCCTGATCAGGTAAATTTGGTTTTTCCGACATTATCACCCTTTAATGGACAACTACGCACTTGCTTCAGGCTTCAGACTTCAGCTTTATTCTTTGTTTCTTGAACTGTTTTCAACCATGGCAACGAAATTCACCAGCGTTCATACACTTCCCTTCAACTAATAACGCAACTCCGCTGGGAGAACAGGGCAGTGATCAACCGCCTCTGTCGACTACGAAAGTTGCCTCGTATCTGTTGAAGTGTGATTCTTGATTGCTGCCGTATTTCGAGGAGATGACCTCCAGAGGCCGGCGCTCGTTTCTTCCAATTTTTTTTGAGTCGTCGGGCTAGCTTAATTGTCGGAGGGTTAGACTATCTCGAGGATGGATACACAGCACAGGCCGGAGCAATCAACAAGTGGTTATTTTCGAATTCAATCTCAAGTATTTTCAACCAAGCTGCTCCGCCAAAAAAATCGACACGGCAAATCTTACCTGGGATTCAACACAACATACTGACCATGGAAATGAAGGCCTCCGTCGACGACAAAGGTTGCCTTTCTGTTGAGTTCTTTTCACGGCTGCATAGCGGGCTCGACTCTGGAGGCGTGGATACTGAAGTTATTCTTGGGTCCCTTTGTGAGTCTCTTGATTTTTTATTCTGGGATGGATCCCCGTGGGATTAGAATAACGCGGATTATGTGATAACCCGGTGATTGTGTTTAGTCTCATGCTGTCTTTGTGTTGAAAATTGCAAGTGGCTCCTTCAATCTCCAAAACCAACAGGCCTTGTGCTTACTTATGACCCAACTCCGCTGCAGAAACGGTCCTCCTCCTGCCGTATCCGCTCGCGCTCTACCCAGTCGAGGTACCGCAGCAGCCGCGCATGCGCGTCCGCCTCGCGCTCGCCTTCCCCGCGCACAAGCACAATGTAGCTGTCGGGCACCAGTGCACGTCGCTCCGTCGGTGGTGGGGGTGCCGCTGCCGTCGCTGCCATCGTTGTGGTCGAGGGATTCGTCTGCGCCTGCGCCTGCGCCCACATCTCCGCCCACACCCTCCCCGCATCCGTCCGCGCCCCAACCATTGCGTTCACCTCCAGCGCCCCCGCCTCCTTGCGCACAAGCGGCGGGTCCCGCGCGCGCGCAACCGCCCACCCCGCACCCGCCCCGCTCCCGAGCACATGTATGAGCTGCCCCTCCGCCAGATCCATCTCCGCCCCGTCGATCGCCGCGAACGGGAACTGCGCGCGGTACAGCCCCGGCGGCACGTCCGCCTCCGCGTAGTACAGCTCGTCCTCCTCCTCTCCTCCCGCATCTTCGGACCCCTCCCCCTCTCCTTCTGCGTGATCATACCCCCCGTCCCCGAAATTCCGCGCAAAATCCACGTATGGGCCCAGCCCCGCATGCCGCGCGTCCGCGCGCGGGTACGCAAAGTCGCGGATCGTGATCGGCGCGTTCGTGCTGTCGGTGATGGCCGCGCTCGACGCAGACGCCGGCACGGACGCAGGGACAGACTCAGGGGCGGCGACGAACGTGCCGTCGACGTCCGCGGCGCTGATACTCCGACTCAGCCGGTGCCGCGCCCCCGCCAGCACGCGCGACGTGCGCTTGCTCCCGCTCCCGCGCGACGGCGAGTGTGCGTGCGCAGAGTCGCGCCTGTTCTCGGGCGCGCTGCCTGGGCTGGAGGCTGACAGGCCTCCTCCACTTCCACTGTGCCCGGAATGGCGCCGACTCTCACTGCGCGCGAGGGACGTACGGCGGGAGAGTGCGGGCGAGGGCGGCGCGGGGCGCGAGCTGCTTGGTGTCGGCGTGCCCTCCTCGTCGGGGCTGAATACGAGCGATGTGGGCGTCGAGGCGGGCGAGTTCGAGTTTGAGTGCGACTTGAAGCCGAGGGCGGCGGTGGTGGAGGGCGGGAAGGAGACGCGCTTGGCGGAGGGCGTGGTCGGCGCACTGGGGGTAGGAGTCGCGGTGGGAGGTAACGCGGACGTCATCGTGGCGGAACTGACCCGTGCGCGCCCGGAATCGGCGGGGGCAAAAAGCTCGGTTGTGTCGAGCGAGAGCGAGAGGTGCGCGAGGGTTGCGTGGAGTAGCCGGGGGTGGTGAGGCCTGCGGGGGAAGTGGGGGAGGTGGAAGGGAGGCGGGGACGTGCTGGAGGTTCGTGTTGGTCGTTGCGGGTGCGTACGCTGTGGGGTGGAGGCGGAAGTGGAGTTTGCGGACGTCGTGGGCGTGCACGCGTGGAAGTCGCGGATCACGCTGATAGCGTTGCGTAAGCGATGTCTCGGCATCACGGCATGTTCAACCTCAAACTCAAGTTGAACTTCGTTCAACTCAGCACCGACCGAAATATGCTGTACAATTACTTCATAATTGACACGGTATCACTACATGTATATCTATTATGCATGTCAATGTGGTTACTGAGAAACTCTCCAAACGACGTGTCCCAAGAATATCCGCTCTCAGGCTTCAATCAACATTTCTCCCGGATCATCCTGCGTTCAGCCGGGGAGTAGCCGTTCTATTCGATCGACCCTTTTGCCTGAACCCACAAAAGCAAAGCAGCGGCCCCGGGTAGCAATGCAGGGAGTGGAGTGCGAGAAAACGCCAAAGTAAGGCATAGCACGAGTGCGGGTCACCCGCGGGTCATCGCGAGTTGACCCGTGGGAATACTCGTGGGAAACCTGACCCGCGGGTTCGAGTACTCGTGGCCACGGGTTTTCGCGGATCCGAGTCAAGATTTTTGAAAAACAGGTTTGACCCGTGAGTTTCAAAGTTGTTTAAAACTTCAATTCCAAGCTGAATAACAGTAAAATAATAAACTGACCCGCGAGTTGATCCGTGGGAAAGCCTGACCCGCGAGTCAAGTACTCGTGAACACGGGTTTCCCACGGATCCGAGTATGGTTCAAAATGCTGCGGGTACTCGCGTCACGGATCCGGGTCTACTCACGAGTTAACTCGTGACGAGCCCTACGCCAAAGAGGGCCGTGCAACGGCCCAGCTTCCAACGCCTCTGTCGGACACGGACGTTGCCTCGTCAGTGTCAGGAAACATCGCCATGCCAGTATATCGAGGAGACGAAAATTCGAGAGTCCCCTTCAGAGGCCTGAATTTGTTTTCTCTATTTTCTTTCTTGAGTCGTCGAGCTGACTTGATTGTTGAAGGTTTAGATTGTCTCGGGGATGAACACACAGCCTGAGCAATCAAGACCAACTTCGAATCCAATCTCAAACGTTCCCAACCAAGCCGCTCCGCCAAAGAATTCAACACGGCAAATCTTCCCTGAGCAACACAACCAACTGAAGATGGAAACGAATGCCTCCGTCGACTACGGCAAGTCGCCTCCTCTCTGTTGCCTTTCTGTTAGTTCTTTCACAGCTGCACAGGGCAGGTTCGACTCTGGAAGCGTAGATACTGTTGTTCTTGGGTCCCTTTTTTGAGTGCCCTGATTTTTTTTTTGATTCGGGGATGGATCCCCGTGGTACTGGAATAGCACGTAACCCAGTGATTGTGTTCAGTCTCATGCTGTGTTTGTGTTGAAAATTGCAAGTGGCTGCTCCAATCTCCAAAAAAAAATCAACAGGCCTCGCGCTTACTTATGACTCAACTCCGCTGCAGAAACGGAGCCTCCAGCGCCTCTGTCGACTACGGAAGTTGCCTCGTCAGTGTCGGGAAACATAGCCATGGCAGTACATCGAGGAGACGAGGGTTCGACTCCCTCCAGAGGTGTGGGCGACGTGAGTCTTATAACCCTCTTTTTTCGGTCAGTCGTACGACTGTGTTGATTCTCGAAGATTCAAATGTACCTACACCAGGATAACCGGATCCCCGGGGGATTATGAGCAGCTTAATGAGTGGGTAGCAATGCAATCAGGGTCAATTCCGCGAAAATTCAGGCTGGCATGTCACTTACCTGAAACTCAGAACAGAAAACTGAACAGAGCCTCCAACACCTCTGTGGACTAGGAAAGTCTCCTCGTTGCTGTCCGGCATTCTCGATTTCATGGAGTATAGTGAGGAGACGAGGGTTCGACTCCCTCCAGAGGTTTGGTCGTAAGCGTTGTGACACTTTTTTTGCTGAGTCGTCTCGGCCGCCTGAATTCTCGAAGGTGTACTTAGATGCATTCCAGAATGAACCTGAGAGATTGTGAATAACAGGGAACTAGGCAATCACGTGTTCAATCTCGGGGTGTTATTTCAACCAACGTGTTGTCGGACATGAAACTGAACAACAGAATCCATGCGCTTGCCTTGAACTGCGAACCGACCCCGCTGGGCAAACTGGGCAGTGAGCGCCTCTGTTGATTGCGGAAGTTGCCTCCTGTTCGCGGATGATCAAGTGGGTATATTGAGGAGACGGGGTTCAATTCCTCTGGAGGCGTGTGAATTATGGTTCTTGAATCCCTTGTTTTGGCTGTTCGAGCGGTTTTGATTTATGAAAGTTGAGATGCACTTGAGGATGTATATACATACAATCAGCGTGTAACCTTAGACTGGTGATTGTGTTAAATCTCAGCTCTGAGCTATGTTGTGTTTTCAACCAATCGCAAACGCTTCCACCAGCAAATTCAACACGTCTCGGTCCCTACCTATGACCTAATTCCGTTGCGAGGACAAAGCCATGAATGCCTCTGTGGAGTACGGAAGTGCTCTCATTTCTATTATAGAGGTCTCCGATATCATGAGCATATTCAACATTGAGGAGACGAGGATTCGACTCCCTCCGGAGCCTGATTTCGTCTTTCTTGACGGCCTTTTTTTTCTCTCAAGTCGTCGGGCTGTCCTGATTCTCGAAGATGTGCATAACATTTGAGGATGATGTATATCGATATGGCGGTCAGAGTGCACTTTTATTATTTCTACAAAAAACGTGTGTTTCTTCAAAAAATGTGGCTGATTTCCTCAAAAAAACCGAACCTTCAAACTTCGAAAAATTTCACTCTCAAACTTTTGTTTAGAAAAAGTCAAGTCTGCAACTTTACAAAGTCTGCGCTGGTACTTTTCACAAGAAACGCCGGGGATGTGTGGCTGTGCCAACCCTAATGATGGCATCACCCGTCGAATGCAGTCCATCTCCCTTTGGCTGTTGGGTTGTATTTATTCACAGGGGCTCATATTGAACTGCTCTTGAGTGCCAAATTCACTTGACCTCTTCATGATGTTCCCAAATGACCTATATTACTGTTCCGTCCACCCTTGACTCGCAGGGCTCATTCAGGAGATAGTGCATTCGACGGGTGATGCCATCATTAGGGTTGGCACAGCCACACATCCCGGCGTTTCTTGTGAAAAGTACCAGCGCAGACTTTGTAAAGTTGCAGACTTGACTTTTTCTAAACAAAAGTTCGAGAGTGAAATTTTTCGAAGTTTGAAGGTTCGGTTTTTTTGAGGAAATCAGCCACATTTTTTGAAGAAACACGCGTTTTTTGTAGAAATAATAAAAGTGCACTCTGACCGCCATATATCGAGGGATCAACGGTGAAATTACTCTTGAATTCAATCTCACGCCTTTTTCAACCAAGCGACTCCGTCAGCCTCCAAAAAATTCAACACGGTGTGTCGACTTACCTATGAGCTAACTCCGGTGACACAACAGGGCAGTGAACACCTCTGTGGACTACGGAAGTTGCCTCGTTTCTGTTAAAGCAGGGGATCCGCGGAATATATTGAGGAGATGAGGGTTCGACTCCCTTCGGAGGCATGCCACTTGGAGGCTCCCTACCATTTTTTTTCCCTTGACGTTGTCTGAGCCTTCAGGTCTGACAAGCATCGAAGATGGATGGATCTATCTCTGAGGGATTATGGGTAGCAGGGAATCATGTTCAGTCAGGCTATGTTTGTGGGTTTTTTTTCCGACCAAACGACTCCATGGGTAAATTCAACTACCTATAACTCAACTCCGCTGGAAGACCAGAGCTGTGAATGCCTCTGTTGACTATGGAAGTTGCCTCGTTAGTGTTGGGAAACATAGCCATGGCAGTCTATCGAGGAGACGAGGGTTCGACTCCCTCCAGAGGTATAGTAGGCGTGAGTGTTATGACCCTTTTTTTTTTTTTTGTTGATTCGTCTCGGCCATCTTGATTGTTGAACGCTCAATGTTCCGATGCTCGCGAAGATAGACACAGAGGCCTGATCATGAGTAATTAAGACCAACTGTTGACCAAGCGAATAATATTTTCGAATTTCAACCTCAATTGTTTTCAACCAATTGCAGCCTTCGCCATATTCAACACGTCCCGTTACTCACGTACACCCCAACTGAACATAACAAGCTTAACAGGGAAACGAACACCTCTGTTGACTACGGGAGTCGCCTCGTTCCTGTTATCTCGAAAGATCAGGGTAAAATATCGAGGAGACGAGGGGTTCGACTCCCTCCGGAGGCTTGATTTCGTTTACGGTCTTTTTTTCTAATAGATTCGTCGGACTGTCTTGACTCTTGGAGATTAGGATTCACTCTAGCATCGACGAAACTAGAGAGGCCGAGGGCATGAAATCGGGGCATTTTTCGGCACGGGCTGTTGGTTGAAATGTTGAATTCAAGCGGCTCCAGAAAACTCGTTTCTATGAATAGGTAAGGACGGCGGTATATCGAGGAGTTGAGGGTTCGACTCCCTCCAGTGGCTTGAGGTTGATATTTCGTACATTTTTTTCTGGAGCTGTTTGGGTGAAACATCTACATGCACTCTAGGTTGAGGATGTATCAACTCCACTGAAAGACCAGAGCGAACGCCTCTGTTGACCACGGAAGTCGCCTCGTTTCACAGGATCCACGGAATATATTGAGGAGGTGAGAGGGTTCGATTCCCTCCGGAGGTGTGAAGGTGACACTTTGTACCTTTTTTTCTTGACTTGTGGGGCTGTCTTGATTCTTGATTCCTGAAGGTTTAGTTGGATGCCCCTCGGATGGACACATGTCTGGGTAAAAATGAATAGCGCTGAGCCAGGTAATGTTCTTTCCCTATGTTTTCAACCAAGCGACTCCGTCAGCCTCTGAAAAATTGAAAATATCTCGTCACTTACCTGCGACCCAACTCCCAACCCTGAAAGGAACACTGAACGTCTCTGTCGACTACGGAAGTCGCCTCGTTCAAGTAGATATTTATCCTGAGTGTGTCGAGGAGACGAGGGTTCGACTTCCTCCAGAGTTTGGGCGTGAGCCTTGTGACACTTTGTTCATCGGGTCGTCTGTCTGGCTTAATTCTTTACATGCACCTGAGGATAGACGCATCCGTGAGGGACTGTGGTCGGCGTAAAACCAAGTCATTATCGATCTGAGCCTGTTGGTTGAATTCAAGCAAGCCCCGCCAGCCTCCAGAAAATTCAACACGGCGTGTCGACTTACCGATGCTACAATCCTGCTGGAAGAAGAGAGCCATGAACACCTCTGTGGACTCCGGAAATTGCCTCATCTCTGTGAAAGGATCCAATGTCAGTTTATTGAGGAGATGAGGGTTCGACTCCCTCCAGAGGTGTGGGCGACGTGAGTCTTATAACCCTCAATCTCAGCAGGCTGTGCTTGGAGTAAATACTGCAGGCTGTGCTTCTGTTGAAAATTGCAAGCGGCTCGGCTCTTCCAATCTTCAATAGAATCAATCCGGCTTTGAGCTTACCTACGGGCCAACTCCGCTAGGAGAACAGAGGACTGAGCACCTCCGTTGACTACGGCAGTTCCTTCGTTTTGCTCGAGAACGGATGGATCCTTGACGGATTGTGAATAACACTTGAATAACACTGTCATTTTTGGATACAATCTCAACCAGGGCCACTGTCCGAAAAAAAAGCAACCATCTGATGACCCAACTCCGCTGCAAAAACAGAGCCGTGAACGCCTCTGTCGACGAAGGAATTGGTCTCATTTCTATGAAAGGATCCAATGGCAGTTTATTGAGATGAGGGTTCGACTCCCTCCGGAGGCATGTGCGGATAGTGTCACTTTTTTTTTTCAATCGTTCTTGATGTATAACGTTTAAATGCACTTGAGGATGCATGTCCAAAGAATTACGAACATCAGTTGCCTATTGATTCAATTCTGTGTGTTTGTGTTTTCTACCAAGCGGCTCCGCCAGGAACTTCAACATGGCTGTCAATTTACCTACAACCCAAGTCCGCTGGGAGAACTGGCCAGTGAACGCCTCCGTCGACTATGGCAGTTGCCTCGTATCTGTCACATAATCAAGCCAGCCGTATCTTATATCGAGGAGACGAGGGTTCAACTCCCTCCGGAGGCCTGTCGTGCATTCCTGTCCACCTTTTTTTTCGTCCCGAGGCTATCTGGGCCGTCTTGATTCTTTAGGGTGTAGATGGTCGTGAGGATGGATGCACCTCCAAAAAATCATGAACAGCCGTTGCCAATTAAATTAATTCGGAACTGTGTTCAAGTTTGTGCTTCAGCCAAGCTCCGTCAGGACAATTCAACCCGCTTCTCAACTTACTTAGAACCCAGCACAACAAACTGAACAGAGCACTGAACGCCTCTGTTGACTACGAAAGTCGCCTCGTGTCTGTTATTAAAGACAAGAAAGGATCACAGTGTATCGAGGAGAAGAGGGTTCGAAATCGAATCCCTCTGGAGGTACTACGATGGAGTCATCCAAAGTTTTTCCTCAGATTTTAGGTTTGGGATTCCGAGATGTTCTCTTCGGAGCGCGATGGTCTGTTGAAACTTGGGCAGCGCGGTGTTACTTCTGGGTGGACGGCGTCGAGATCCGGAAGACTCTGCCCAGACTGCGGGGGAATGCTTGGGTCGCGGGTCGGCAACGGGCGCATAGGTGTGATTCGAGAAAGGGAGGGCATGCTTGGGGCAGAATGGACTTATGCGCGACTGCTGCTTCAAAGGTGGGTGAAGCTTGGGTGAAGCAAAGCGTGAGATTTGATGCAGCATCGCCATCAACTTCCTTTCTTGGGCACTGGATTGACACTGGAAGATTTTGCTAATCGCTCTCTCTGAATCCTGCAGCTGCAATGCAGCTGAACCAAAACCTTTCCTCGCCAATGTTTCGTTCCTCCCGTATGCATTGCCCTCGCATTCAACGGCATTGCTCCGAC